AGACAGTGTCAGAGAAAAATAAAATAGATACTGCAAAACAAAAAATTACCAGAAGTAGGCTATGTTTGGTAAAACTAGCTGATACCTGATAAGTTAGCTTATAGCTTATAAGTGATTTTCGAGCTTATAGCTCATAGCTTATGACTTAAAGCTTAAAAGCTAGCTTACATAACAGAAGTGTTTGGTAAAATTAGCTGATAAGCTAGGTGAAATAAGAATTTCAACGAGCTTATTTGAAAAGCTACCCAAAGAAGCTTATGAGATAAGCTCGAGCTTTTTAGAAAAGCTCATCCTACCAAATGAAGCTTATTTAAATACAATAAGTTAACCAAATAAGCTATAAACTAGCTTATTTATCTACCAAACATAGCCTTAATGTGCACAAGTACAATATTAACTGAATAGATATACTTACAATAATGAGTGCGGTGATAGATTCATTCATCCAACGGTTTTCCTCCAACAGATGGCCGATCACAATACATGCAGAAAGGAGCGTCACAAACAAGGTTATTGCAACAACGGAAGTGTGATCGGACGTTCCCAAAGCATTCGCAGTCTCCAGCATAGTCCCAGACTCAACTCCCATGTTGTCCATTAGACTAACCACACAATTCAGAAGATTTGAGCAGAATTGCTGAATAACCCAAATTCCGATCTCAGACCTCAGTGTGATACACTAAGATCAGCTGTCATGTGATGAATTTCACGCATGCTGAATAAAATGGAATTGGTTAATTAAAGATCATAATGGCACATTTTAGATACAGATTTGGACCCTTGTAATAGCAAGTATATATATTTGGTATGAACTCACAAACATACAGGATAAGTTCACCGCAACATTTTCAAGCAAATAATGTTTGAATCATTCTCATGAACAGGCAATCAATCAAATTAACAAACTTTAAATGATAGTCTAACACACAAATCAGGCATAAATTTGGCAAGTGTACAGAATAGGAAATGCGAAAGACATAGAAATTGCTGGACTCGGAACCTCATTAAAGTTTCACATGTATTTTTAGAAAGTTCAAAAACTTTCTCAAAAAACAAAACAAGTAGTAGTAGTACTAAAACTACTAAAAATAATAATATTAAAAAAAAAAAAAAAAAAAAAANAAAAAAAAAAAAAAAAAAAAACTATCTATGTGAAATTCCCACAAAAGTATTTTGTACCAAAGTCGGCTCTTTTAGCATCTTATTACGTTGTTTAAAATTACTATGATTGTATTGTAATGTGATCAACTCAAACGCTTTGTTAACTGAAGTACCTGATCTGTTTACTGCTGGCTGCTTCAATCACATAATTCATCATGTTAACATAACTGAAAGACATTTTATACGGATCCGTGGAAGACGTTTTTAGGTTTTAACAAGAACAGGCTTTGAAAAGAAGAGAAAGAAGAACCAACAACTTACATAAAAATGTCCTTAACCATAAATATAGCTACGGCCGAATCTTGAAGTTAGTTTACCATAATCAGGCGCAGTTAGTCAGGGACAATCACGTATAAAACGGTAATAAAAAGCTTACATAGATAAAAGGCATTACGCTTAGATCGAAATAAAAATAGATAAATAAATATATAAATAGTATGAATTTTGAACTCCTTGCAAGATCTCACTCCAAATATAAAACCACACATCATCTCAGAAAATTCTCGAAATCCAAGTCAACTTACTAGTTGAGTTGCAGCAGCCAGGGACCGATTGAATCCTGGTTTTTTCTTTATGCTTGAAAAAAAAAAAAATCACACCCGAAATTCGAGATATTTGTTAATAGAGTTCCGAAAAGTTGAGTTCACGGATTCAGAAAAAAATGGGAAGCTGAAACTTTCATCCAAACTCACGGAATTAAGAGAAAATTCTAGAGAGAAAACAGGACGTGGCAGTGTTGAGTACAGATCGATATGAGAGAGAGGAAAATGGAGGGTCTAGAAAATTTATATACGTGCCTACACGATCAATTGGGTATATTTAGAGGTGGCCGGGTCGACCTGGCCCGGACCCGACCCGGATATACGAGTCCTTGAACCGGACCCTTACCCATTACGGGCGGTTCTGGGTTTCCTTTTCCTAGTTTTTTACCCATTGGGCCTGTCCGGTTTCGGGCTGGGTCTGGGTCGAGAGACGGGCCCGATTCTCCTTTTTTTTTCTAGGTCGGGTATTGCAAACTGTGATTATCTCTTTTTTTTACGAGTCAGGTCGCCAAGGGTCACCTTTTGTGCGTCTGCCGTTGGATCAGTTGGACCTTTGCGATCCAATTATTCTCAGTCGCCCGA